CTGGATGTTCACGGGGAGGAGAGTGACAAATCCTCTCGCAGACTGTTGGTTTGGAGTTGGCTGGCGGAGGCTGTCTTCGTAGGAAGCAGGTGTAACGTGTCTTCCCGTCGGATGCGGCGCTCCGGCGCGTGGATGCTCAGCGTCTCTTGTAAACACGCGTACAAATAGGATGGCGGCGGTGACGTCGGTGGCACAGGATTTTGAGAGCCTGGCATCCCTCCCCCACCGCCTTCCCCTACCCACCCCACCCCCATCACCGAAGCAGAATTTCTCCGTGGGTTTCTCCTGGTCTGTGGCTTAGCCACTAAGGACAGAGATTTGGATTTGAATCGACGCAGGGTTTAGGGGACGCAGGCCTGTGTGCTGTGTGTGCTGAAGGGCACACACCCTCCGCTCTTGGGACAGCAGGAGGCTGGCCCCTTGGTTGGAATTCCCCGAAGGGCAGGTGCAGGGGCAATTAGAGGAGACCCCAGGGCGGGCAGGGCCCTTGGAGCCCCGGCTCCAAGGAGCGTGTGAGGGGGGTGGGGGTCCCTGGCCAGGTAAGGCCTGCTAAGCCTCTGCAGCTGCTGGGGGGGCCTGTGGGCTGTTTGGCCCGGTCGGTGTTAATGATGTCTTTCCATTTCTGTCTTCTGCCCAAATTCCTTCCCGGCCAGCCCCGAGGCATGGGGGAACTGGTCTGAGGATCAGGTGTTTCCTCGTCCACTTAACAGGAATGTCCATTAGTATCTGTGAACCCTGATTTCATTGCTTCTAAGTGCATTTATGAGCCGGGAGGAGGTCTCGCCTTGTAAATGAAATGTGGTTTTGTTGTAAAAGAAAATGACAACAAACGTGTAACTGTGTGTGTGTAAATATATATTTGCCCATGTGCTTTAGGATGTCACGTTTCAGAACCCACCCCAGCCAGGTACCTGCTGTTGGAACAAGTCATCAGCTGCACTCAGTCATCTTTCCTCCGGTTGAGTCAAACGTCTCAGCCATGCGTCGACTTTATTCGGCTCATGACAGTGAGGGCAGCAGGGTTTTCCAGAGCTGCTGACTCTTGGGGGAGCTTTGCATGAAAGCGGAAATCCTCTCCGGGGAAAGGACCTCATCTTTGCCTTCTTTATTTTTTTAAAGGCTGGAGTTTGCGGGACAAGGCGGCCAGAGGGGCTGGTTTGTAGGGTCTGGGAGTGTGAAAGGCTGGTTTGTGTATATGTGACTTTTCTCTTTCCTGGTGCTTTCTCGTCCGTGGGGGGCAGTTTGGGTGACTCTGCCTGTCACAGTGGGGGCCCGGTCCTCTGAGCCTGTGCGGGCAGTGGATCTCCATTCCACCCCCACAGGATTGAGGAAGGAGGGTTTAGGGGGGTAGGCCCTTCTCACTGTGCCCTTCTCTGAGCCTGGGCAAGTGGTTCTTTCTCCTTTTATTTCTTCTGTGAGCGATCGGCTTCTGAGAAGGGACACAGGCGCACACGCACACACATGCACCCCCACGCCCAGCTCGGTATCCGCCTGCCAGAGGAAATGAAACCACAGCCCGCCTTTGGGGGTGTCTCCGAAGGCCTCAAGCATGAGATTCAGCAAGCTGTCTTGGTCCACCCTCTCTGACCTAAGAGTTTGACAGTTTGGGGGTTCGGGGTGACGTTGCTACCTTCCTGGGAAGTGCCTCCCGCAGCAGCCAGAGCCCAGGGCTCCGTGCCCCAGGGGGGTGGGGTGGGCAGAGGAAACCCCAATCCTTGAAGTTGGGCGAACACCCCCTGTCATCTTCAGGAGTTTTACTTTCAGCACCACACGTGGGAGGGGAAGGAGATGTTTTTGTTTCTTTTCCTCCTGGGCGCCTTTGGAGGAGGCAGAGGGCCGGATCCTGGGTCTGGGGACCCGAGTTCAGAGCTGTCTTCGGGCTGGGACTCCAGCGGGGCCTGGCTGCCCAGACTGGCTGGCTGCAAGAGGGCTGGAGGCAGAACTCAGACCTGCAGCCCAGTCAACGGCCTCGGATACTTTCAAACTCAATTACTGGGGCTCACAAGGGCTTGCAGCAGGAGGAAAGTGAAAAGGCAAAGACTGCCAAATAAAGGAAGGAATACCAGATGTTACCAAAACAAAACAAAACAAAAAAAAGAGGAAAAGGAAAAAGTGCTGGTACAGAGTCCCTTAGGAAGAGATGGAGAGAAGGGTGAATACCTGTGAACAGGCCTGCGTGACCTCTGCTCAGTTTTAAATTAGCCTGTTTCTTTTGCAAGAGAAAAGAAGTTTGAGATTATGTAGCTTAAAATCCTCAGCAGAGAGGAACTATTCAGGCTTCTCAAAATTCCCACCGGGGAGAATGGACTGACGGACTCGGCTGAAAAAGTTTAATGAAAAGCAAAACCAAGACAAGGGAAGTCAAGATGAAATTAGATGACAGAAAACATCTCCCCGTCCACAGAAAGGATGATCAGGTTGGGATTCGGATGGATGAACTATTGTCTTTGTTTATTTTTTATCAATGCCCTTATGGCTGCTGCCGAGTGCCAGGTCCGCTCAGGAGGGCCCGGTACCTCCACTCTCCCTACCACAGAATTCACCCCTGTTTGATTTGAATTCTCGATTTCATTTTGTCCTTTTTTTTTTTTTGCTTTTTCAGCTCATTTCCTTTATGCCTCTCTTTCTTTCTCTCTCTCTCTTTTTTTTTAACAAAACAATATTTTGACATCCTCCTGCCATTTATTAAGAGTTCCTTCTCTAGAAATGGTGCACAATACATCCTTATATTTCTAAAGAACTGTTTTCACAGCCCTCTCCTTTGGCTCTGAAATTATGTATATGTAATTGGTAATTAAAGGTGCGAGCTTTTCAATATAAACAGTATTGCTCAATGTTAGATCGTTAAAGGGAAAAGAGGCACCGAATAATTACCTTTAACATTCTGACAAACCGTGAGCCGGGAACCCGGTCCCCCCTAGAAACACTGTTCGGCGTGAGGGTTGTGATTACATTTTAACCATAGCAAAGCATCTTTTCATAAAATAAATTGGTAAATTAATTATGTAGCATTGTCTTCCAACTTCTTTTTAAGTAAACTCTGATTTCTTTTTAAAGTGTAATTAATGGTTTCTGGGGCCGCCTTTGTGCACACTGTTTTCTCTTACCTTCTAGGTTCTTTCCTTTTTCTTTTTTTTGTTAGAGGTATGCACACAAGAGATTTCGGATTTCTTCATCTGTGGGGTGTTTTGGGGCGGCCACACTTCCAGTGCATGTCTACATGTAATTCATCGAGGGCTCTGCCTTTCTAGCGGCACGGGCGGGATCTCAGACCGTCACTTCCCTTCTCCGCAACACCTGGGCGCCTACCCGCGCGTGCATAGTTCACGCGTGTTCCATGTCCTTTGCTGCCTGCTTGGTCTTACGCACGGACTCTCACAGGCCCTGAAAAAGCGTGTGCTCAGAACACACAGAGCAGTGATTTATAATGTAGGATGGAAGATGCCACAGAATTTTTTCCTTAAATTATCTGTTCTTTGGCTCTGGCCCGTCAATAACTTCACTGCCACGGAATGTGTTTTCCTCCATTCCGTTTCTTCCCTCTCTTCTTCTGTGGTTTTCATTATCCTTTCTTAAATGCCATAAAACTTAAAACGTACCTGCCTCCTCGGGTTTCAGAACTCTGGCTGCCCCCTGGCTTCTCGGAAGACCCCACCACTGATGCTGTCTACACAGCCATTGACATTTGCTCTTGACCAATTCCACCTCGAGTTTGCTCAGACCCTGAGCGTGGATGCAACGTCGCTGTCCAGTTGCCTTATTTATGACCTGTTGGTTGGCCGCGTCTCCTAGGTTTCCCTGAGGGGTTTGCTGCTTTTTGAGGCGTTTACTAGCTTCAAAATATTTGGGTCCCTTGCCCCCTACAAAACAAAAATGAAAGGCGGTAGGTAGATCGGCTGCTAAAGAAATATGAAAACGTACAGCCCGTTGCAAGTGTGGTTTGCCCTCTGCCAAGAAATGCTTTTGTAGTCTGAAGAGTTATTTTTCTTTTCTTTTCTTTTTACTGGGAGTGAAATAAAAACCGACCAACAGGAAAGGACAGTAGGGAGTTGGTGAGAGTCGGCAAAATCTACAAAGCGATGGGAGTCTGACCAGGAGCAGAGTGTTTGGCAGGGAAGCTGGCTGCCTCGTTCAGCTGACTAGCCGCGTCTCTTTCCTGCATTTTTTGTTTGTTTGTTTGTTTTTTCCTTTCGATATTTCTTTCTGAACCAATGCTCACGTGTTGCTTTCTGAGCCCGGGTCCTTTCTTTCTCTCGGAAGGACCAGCCCCGGGACTCCCGTCTGGGTTCCTGTTTTCCTGTGTGGTGTGCAGCCAAGTCTCAGGTAGAAGAATGCAGGCAGGGGCGCTCATGAATGGGGAGGACCTGAATGAAGGTGGGAGGGAAGAGGGGTGTGCGACTCCTGCCCGAGCAGGGAGAAGCAGCTCTGGCTCGCTGTTCTAAGCCTTGGCTGCCCGCAGGAATCACCTGAGAGCCTTTAAAAAAAAAAAGAAGACAGCCTGAAGTCTGACTCCCAGTGTCATTGGTCTAGGGTACCGCCTGGGAGCCCGGGGTTTCCAGAGCTCCCAGGTGGTTCTGAGATGTTGCAGAGTTTTCGAGAGGCCTCTCCATCACACTGCCACCAGACTGGGGATGGTCCAGCCCCCGGTGGAACCAGGATGTGTGTGGATGTGCAGGTGGTCATGTGTGTGTCCGTATGCTCAACTGAGGGGAAACTGGCAGGAAATAAACTAGAAAGCAGTAAGATCTGCACCACTTAAGGGGCAACTTCTCAGAGCTGCAAGGGCCGCGCCCGGAGCCCCACTTTGCCCATCTGTGGCATGCAGGATGGCGAGCCCCTTATCTCCAGGAGTCTTGGGGGGGGAACGTGGTGAACCCCTCGCATCCCGCAGCGGAGGGGCCTGCTTCTCGGTGGGGAAGGGTTGGAACGAACGATGGGTCTTGTGACTCCTTAAGCCCATCTTGTCTTCTCTGCCCCTCCCCTTGTGCTTCTCTCTCCAGCAGAGCCTGAGCATGTGGAGGCCGCCATCCTCGAGGAAGACGAGGGTCTGGAGATAGAGGAGCCTGGCAGCCTGGGGCTGATGGTGGGTGGCCCCGACCCTGACCTGCTCACCTGTGGACAGTGTCAGATGAACTTCCCCCTGGGAGACATCCTGGTTTTTATAGAGCACAAGAAGAAGCAGTGTGGCGGCAGCCTGGGGGCCTGCTATGACAAAGGCCTAGACAAGGGCAGCCCTCCACCCTCCTCGCGCTCTGAGCTCAGGAAAGTGTCCGAGCCGGTGGAGATCGGGATCCAGGTGACCCCCGACGAGGATGACCACCTGCTGTCACCCACGAAAGGCGTCTGCCCCAAGCAGGAGAACCTCGCAGGTATGGAGCATTGCCCTCACCCGGCTGCTGCAGAAGCCCACTCACCCCTCGGGTCCCAGGCCCGCCCTCGCCCCTCGCTGTGCCGGGGGGGCTCGCCCTCTGTCTGAGGGTGTCAGTGCTGGGAGGGCCCGCGGGGCTACCAGGATGGGCTTGCCCTTGCCTAGGGGCCTGCATCCGGGTGGCCCTCGGGAGGAGACAGGCCTGGGGCTCAGAGAGGCCCAGCGGGCTGAGGCTTGCTTTGCTTTTGGCAATGGACTCCCGTGGTGGGGGCCTCGTCCACAGCTGGCCGGGAGAGCAGGACAGACCTTGGGAAGGCTAGCTGGCCCTGACTTTGCTGGTGTCCTTGCCTTAGTCTCTGGCTTTGGAGCCCGAACGTCCCGGGTTGGAATCTCTTCTGTACAACTTGGACAAAGTCAGTCTCCCCATCTGTGAAATGGAGCGAATGAGACCTATTTGTTGGGGGTCGTTGTGAGGCTTGATGAGATGTTGCGTGTGGGCAGGGCCTGCTGGGGGCCCTCGTTTTTCTCGTCCGCTCTCTGGCTTCAGTTTCCCATCTGTCCAAAGAGGCCCCTTCTGATGTTGCCTGGTCCTTGGAGTGGGCCCGGGGAGGGGCTTGTGGGAACCTGGCTGGAGCCGGTGCTTCTTGGGGGAGGTTGGCCATCGCCTCTGGCATGCCCACCTGGTGGGCCACCTGGACAGCTGGCTTTGAAGGACGCGTCCACCTGAAGGACGCGGGTAGGGGCTGGCAGCCTCGGGCAGGCCCAGGGAGTTGGCCTCAAGTTCTGTTTGGGTCAAGGCCACAGCTCGCCAGGGCCTCCTTCAGGGAGCTCGTGCTCCATGCAGCCCAGAGTGGTGGTTTCCGGTCTGTCCTCCTGAGCTCAGGGCCCAGGTTGGCCCGTGTTTCCTAGAAGCAGCGGGACACTCTCGGAGCGCGTGCAGGGCTCGGATCCTGCCAGGAGACTTCGGACAAGCTCCTTCAGGGTCCAAGCATCAGTTCCTCCTGCTGTCACCGGGAGGGACAGTCCTGGTGGGCCGGGTGGGTAGGTTCAAAGAGCAGGAGCTCCATCAATTATTTGCCAGTGGAGCTTTTCTCTTGGGGGTAACTTCTGGCACCGCAGCGTGCAAGCAAGCGGCTGGCCAGATGACTGTATCCATCTCCACGGCATCTGGGTCATGGAAGCCAGTGCAGATGCTGGGCGGACTGAGGCTTTGGGTGCTGCCTGGTGGGGGGGTGGTGGTGGTGGTGAACCAGGTGGAACCAGGGCACTCTGCTCTCACGGGTGGGACAGAAGAGCATGGCCAGGAGACCCACCCCCCCATCCCACCATCACCCAGGAGGCAGTTAGTCAGGGTGACGCAGCAAGTCCAGCTGCTCTGGGGCAGCCACCGGGCAGCTCTGTGACCCCGAGCCTCCCTTTGCCCATGGGTACAACGGGGTTAATGAACTCTGTCTCTGGCCTGCAGTGGAGTGCCGAGTCCTGCAGGCATGGGCTGGGCCCTGGGGAGACCCCGTCCAACCAGACGGGCCTGTGGGGCTGGCCTTCTGGCGGGTGTCCTAGCGTGAAATCTCCCACACTCTTAACTTGCCCAGGGCGTTGAGAAAAGTGTCTGACGTGTTCAGGCCAAAGTCCCAGCAGCCCTGGGTTTCTCAGAGCGCCTAGTAGGTCTGAGTGATCCTGCTTTCCTTAGGGCCGGAGCCCTGACGCGGAGGAAGGTGTTGGGCCCCTTCTGCCTGGGCCCTTTCTCGCTGTCTGACGCTGAGAGCTGGTTTTTGCCAGTGGCGCAGACACGGGGCATCAGTGCACACAGACCTTTCGGGAGTGGCTGCTGCCCACGAGAGGGGCCCCATTCATGGTTCAATGGAAAGGCTTCCTGCTTTCGCCAGGGCCCATCCAAATCCTCATTTCACAGAGAAGGTATTTTCCAATGAGAGGCTGCAGATCGTTGTGGGTAGGTTTGTTTAAGAAAGCGACTAAATATGATTTCATAAAAGGCAAAGTTAATCTCCAAGGCGGCTTTGTCTTCACCCCCCACGCCCCCCCGCCGCCCTCTGCCCCCCCTCCCTTTTTCGGGGTTGTAATACTGCAACGACCTACAGTATTTTTATTCTGTGTGTGACGAAAGATATTCTTGGCCTTTTCTGTTCAGCAACAGGACGAATGGATTTCTTCATTCTCGAAAAAATATGTAAAATAATCCCTTAGAAGTCTAAGGAGATATGTTTGTTCAAAGCATTTAAAATGTTATTTTAATCAAAGGCACGAGACAGTCTCCATGCTGTGTCAGCTAGAGACAACCATTCCGTTTTAACAGCCCATCATGATTTTTCCTTCCCGGACTCCTTTTTTTCCTTTTCCCCTCCCCACTTTGACACCAACTTTTCCCTTCTTCTTCTTCTTCTTTTTTTTTTTTTTAATTTAATAAAAAGGAAAGATTAAAGAATAAAAACTTCAGTAGCTCAAATGTATAAAGTCATTTAATATGGTGGGAGCATTAATTATTTTAGCTTAATTGAATTCTGAGGACTGCAGTAGTTGCATTTTTGTAGACAAGCCCTGTTTATTATTTCTCTGTGTAGATTAACAGTAAAGGAAACACAGATAACTTTAGTTATTTATTGTAAAATAAATGTGTCAATTCATGTGTAAAGCAAGCTGCTGAAAGATAATTGAGTCTTTATATTTTAAGAGGGGGACTAGGAATTCCAGGCGCTTCTCCGCCCGGGCTTCCGGAAATCTACACAGCTGTTGCCCCAGCCCCGGGCACTGCTGGCCTTGCCCAGGCCTTTTCTGTCCCTCTTTCCTGACTGTGGCTGGGAGGGGATGCTCCAGCCTGTCCATGCTCCCCTATCATCCGTGGAGCTGGCCTTGGTCGGTAGCTGGTCTGGGTGGTGCTGATTGCTAGGACTTGGCCTCTGACTTGGTGGTCTGAGGCAGGGCGCCCATGTGGCCGTGAGGGTCCTGGTTTTCCTGGAGCCCACAGTCTAAGCATGGTCCAGACGGGCAGGTCCCATCTCTTCCTACCAGGTGCTTCTAGAGGCTGGGCTCCAGAGATGGCCTGGGCAGGGTTGGTCTGTAAATATGTGGGGGGGTCCCTTCCACTGTTAGGGGCTTCCCCAGGGGTTCAGTAGTTAAAATCCACCTGCTAATGCAGGAGATGCAGGAGACATGGGTTCGATCCCTGGGTTGGAAAGATCCCTTGTAGGAGAGGGCATGGCAACCCACTCCAGTACTTGCCTGGAGAATCCCGCGGACAGAGGAGCTTGGCGGGCCACGGTCCGTAGGGTCTCAAAGAGTTGGACACGAAGTGACTGAGCATGCACTTCCATGTTAAGGACAGCCCCGGGCTGAGAACCCAGCTGGAATTCTGTGAGTCGTTGCCCCAGAGTGGCACTTGTTCCTTGGGATGCCATTCTGGAGATGGGTATAAAGAGCTCAGTTAACTACTTTTTTTTTTTTAATGACAGAGGAGTAGGAGAGTGGAAAGAGGATGTTTCTGAAGCTTTGTCTCCTAGGGCAGCGGTCCCCAACCTTTCTGGCCTCAGGGACTGATTTCGTGGAAGACAGTTTTTCCACTGACCAGGGCAGGGTGGGGGGTGGTTTGGGGATGATTCAAGCACATTACATTTCTTGTGCACTTTACTGCTATTATTGTTACATCAGCTCCACCTCAGATCATCAGGCATTAGAGCCTGGAGGCTGGGGACCCCTGTCCTATTGCATTCATTCATTCGTTCAACTAGTACCTACTGCCCTTCCCCCACCCTGGACATCCCCACTGGAAAGAGCCCCCATGGGGCAGCAGCATGGTGGGAGGGTGGCCACGTGGGCACAGGGCCGGGGTGTGAGCTGCCCTGCCCTTGATGCATATGGTCGAATTCTGGGGTGCTGCTTTTTGAAGATGTGCTGGGCCTGGAGGAGGTCCCTCGAGCTTCTGTCCAAGGCCCACCCCCCCAAGCAGACAGAGGGCTGGTACTGGCCAGAGGTAGGGGCTTTGGCTGGAGATCTGACCCAGGGGCAGGCCTCTGATACACGCCTGTCTGTATTGGAGTTCTTCCTGTTTCTTAAGATCCCTTCCCGCCGCATCCTCCCTGCCTCTGAGGAGGGTTCTGATGGAGCTCGGGGACCCATCCATCGAGGGCAGCAGGAGTAGTGAGCCCTGGGAGGGGAGGTGAGCGGGGTCCAGGCTTTGCCAAGAGCATGAGTCTCTGAGCTTTCTCTGGGATGGGCGTCCCGAGGAGGGGTGAGGCAAGGCGGGGTTAGGGGATCTGGGTTTGCCATCCACACTGATGAGCCCAAGTCTGCACCCCACTCTGCTTTCTGCTGGCCACTTGCAGTGTGACGTGCCCTTCTGAGCTGCAGGGTCCTCATCTACCTAATGATAATTGTGACATTTAGAAAGGATGTGTGCGTGGCGTGCATGCTGCGAATACGAGTGGGCCCCTCTTCCTTCAGGGATGCTCTGCTATCTCTCTCTGGCTCCATCATCTCCTGGTGTTAGAATAGTGACCATTGGTCTCCCTGGGATCTGGGAGAAATTTCCACTGGGTTCTGAGGCTGCCCGTCAGAAGCAACCTCAGGACGACAGTCATGTGTGCCGTCTGGTGTGTGGCCCCTCCTTTCCCATCTTCGGTCACATTACCATCATCTGGTGACAACGTGAGGGCAGGTTGCCCGGGAGGAGGCGTCTGGAGGGTTGAAGGAGCGAGTTGCTCTGGTGCCCGTTGGCCAGGGTGGGATTTCCAAGCCCCCCCAGGCAAGTCGCTTTATTTTTCTGGATCCCGGCTTCCTCGTCTGCACCTACTTTTTTGACTTCATGTTCAGAATTCAGTGAGATGAGAGTGTTAAGCGCCCACTTGATACAGGGTCTGGTCTCAGGTAGACCCCTGAGCAATGGAAGCATCTGGAAAGCTTTGAAAAGAGTGTGGACCCCGCCTCTTGCTGTGAGATGCCTGCCTTTCAGAGTCAGAGTCCTGAAAACTTATCTTGGATGTCTCTCAG